CTACTGTACAAAATCAGCCGCTTTTCCGGAAAAGCTACGCTGCTCCCGCTCGGGCAAAAGTCCTTTTTCCGGAAAAGCTTTTCTGGAAAAAGGTGCCAGTGTAGACACAGCCATCGTGTTTCACCCCTCCATGGTACAGTGCTTGGAGCCCTATCTGAGAGAGAGGCAGCTAGCTTATTTCACCTGAGAACTCTCCCTGTTGTGTGATAGCACAGTGCCTTGGCACTCTTTCAATTAACTAATGCATGAATAATCTCTGGATCTAATACATACAGCTAGCTAGTCTGTCCGATTAGATTAGATTAGGGGCGGGGACATTTTTTTGGGTCGGGGGCCACTGACCCACAGAAAAATTAGGCAGAGGCCACACACAAGTGAGGAGTAAAAAACAAACAAACAAAACTCCCTTCGCTGACATGGCCCCTGACTGAGAAGGAGAAAGACACTCCCGAAATTCCCCTGACACACCAGAGTCTAGGGGGGCCCAGGCTAGTAGATTTTGTGTGCTCCAGCCATGCGGGGGGAGAGGGGAAATGTCGGCGAGAGGACAGGAGCACCAGCGCGGGCTTCCCAGTGCTCAGAGTGGAGTGGGGAGCCCTGAGCCTTGGGGAGCCAGATCCAGGCAAGCTGGGGGCCACATCTGGCCCCCAGGCCTTAGTTTCCCCACCCCTGGATTAGACAGACAGATAAACAATGGGAGCAGTTTACTAATTTGAGAGTGATTAGGGTTATGGGGCAAATCCCGTCCTGTTCTCGCCTGACAATTGTGTGGGAGAGTCCCCTCTGTCGTGCGGTGCTGTAACAGCAGGATGGAAACTGGAATAAATTGTTGTGAACTGTGGCTGTTCCCCCTCCTGGGAAAGCAGTGGTAACCACAACAGGGTTCCTGGCCTGTGACATTTGGCGTAAGTGAGATTAATATGTGTGTGGGGGTGGAGACTGCAAATGTCTGACTGAAACGCACGCCCTGCAGAGATCCTTCCTCAGAAGGAGGAGAAGGCTTTACCCACATCCCTGAACGTGCATCCCCAGTGAGGGGGGGTCTCTCTGCAGCTGGCAGACTCTGAAAGGACTTGGTCATAATATTGGGTAGGTCAGCTCACCCCCTTTCCCCTCCCCCCAGTGTGATAGACACGGGCTGCCTCTGCTGTCTGAGATTTCTGAAAGCCAGGAGGTGGGCTGAAAAACTACCTCACTGGGAGGGTGGGGAAGCACTGGAACGGGTTAGCTGGGGCGGGTGGAATCTCCACCCTATGAGGTTTTTAAGGTCAGGCGTGACAAAGCCCTGGCTGGGACGATTTTGTTGGGGTGGGTCTTGCTTGAGCAGGGCCTCCTGAGGTCTCTTCCAGCCCTCACCCTCTGTGGTCTCGATTCTGCTAGGTGTGGTGAGCGCCGTAGTCCGAATGGCTAACACCAGACGCTGTGCAAGAGTGAAGAGCTCCGCCTGGGGGAGCCGCACAGAGGGGCGTTCTGGTGGCAGCGAGGGGATTATGACGCCCCACGGGGGCAGAAATGTCTGGAGAAGACCCAAGCTAGCGCCTGCTCTACCATGGATGGTCTAGACAGTATTTGGTCCTGCCAAGGGGGCAGGGGACTGGACTCGATGACTCTCGAGGTCCCTTCCAGTTCTTCTGTTCTAGGATTTAGAACAGGTCTCCGCCTCCTGTGGTTTTTTAATTGCAGCAACTGAGAAGACTTGCCCTGCCTCCCAGTTGTAGCTGCGTAGCCGGTGTTACACTGGCAAGGGCAGTGACACCGGCAGTGCCGGCAGGGCCTAGGAAAAGTGGGATCAAGGGAATCTGATGTCTTCAGCCAGTCGAGGCATCCAAGGCAAATTTTCCCTTCGTTCTGAAGTGCGGGCAGATGAGGTGAGGTAAGCAGTCAGCCAGACATCTGAGGGAGAGCCTGGACCTTGAAGGGAAGGGGAATGTCCCCTAGACCTTTCTGAATGTTAAAGGCATCGTTTTGAGAGATTCTAATCCATTCCCTTCCCTCGCTGTCAGTCTGCATGAAATAAACACTCTTTGGAATACGAAGTGTTGTGAGGGGGCGTCTGCCCTGTGCTGGCCCAAGAAGGGTTAAATCCAGCCCTGGGGGAGGGCTGGGGCTGTGGAGACAGCGGCTGAGGCAGAGGCAGCCAGTTAGGGCACAGCTGGGGCTGTATGGATAATATGGCTTCTGGCGTGGAGGAGAACACACTCTCTTGCTCCAGCTGCAGGAGGGACCTGGCTGCCAGGGAAGCTGGAGGCTTCCTGGGACAGAGCAGGGCTGGGGAAAGGCAGGCAGAGCTGGGGAGCCCGGCCTGGCCCTACTCCTGGGCTGCAGGGGCTGAGGTAAGGCCTGAGGGGACTAGGGAGGCGGCAAAGGCAGCAGGCCCACACTCCCTTGCCAGTGATGAGCAGCCATGTCACACGGCAGTGTGCCCCAGGGTAAGGGGCTAGATGACGGCTGGCCGTGGGTTACTGAGACAAGGTGGGTCTAGGGGAATTGGGGTTCCTAGAACCCCAGAGTGCAGGGGCACTGACATAGGGCAGGACTAAGAAGGAAAGGGCACTGTGGACAGGCAGGGACATGAGGTTGAACCAGCAGATGGCCTGCGCCAGAGGCTGAGATACCGACCAGCAGAGGGCGCTCTGAGGTGGGAAAGCAGATCCCTCAAGTGACCAGCAGGAGGCGCCGCGGCGGTGAGTGCTAAACGTGACCAGTGTATAATACGTTTCACAGCTCAGGCCAGGCTTTCAAACCTATACGGCCTCTTGGCACTGATTTCTGAACAGCCCCTGTGGTGCTGTGTTGCCCAGCGCCTGCAACTGAGTTTATTCAATTTTGAGGGCTAAATGAGTGAGTGAAAATGCTCCCTTTGTCACCGTGTCGCTGTTTTATCGCCCACTGCCTGTTGGATGCTGCCACATCTCAAAGGGACTCCCTTTGTTTGCTAAAGATTTAAACAAACCACAGCTAGCTTG